AAGATTTTCACTTTCTTAATTTTATATAGAATAAATACAATAGGTAACTCGTTTGTTTTGAAAATATAATAATTATGAATGAATATCGAAAAAAGTATTTAATACWATGGATTTTCTTATCATATTTTGAATTAAAAAAATAATTTTAACATATTATTTTATAATGCATGGATACATAAAAAAAAAAATCGTGGTCTATGGAAATTAGTAAATATAACCACTTTTCTTTGAGCATAGTAAATAATATTAATCAAATATGCATATTTTTATAGCATCTGTAGTGTCGTTGTAGTTTACAAATTTATTCAAGGTGAGATAAAGTATTCTGAAAGAATGCGTGTTTTATCATATCAAAAATGGAAATACGTGCTTAAGTTTTAAATATATTAGTATTGGTCTTGTGAAAAAGTATCTAGAAAGTGTTAACTTTGTGTAGAATAAAATAATATGATAATATTTTTCCGATGCCTTTGACTCCAGAAAATAAATAGGTACATTCTTTTGTATTTATAAGTTATGAATTTATGATTAATACAACAGTATACATATAAAAAATCAAGAAATAATTTTAAATTCCATTTATTTACAATTATTGTAAGTTACAAAAGGCGATAATACAGTTTTGACACGGTTATGTATAATTAATGAAATATCAAGATTATTATTTCAATATTTGAATAAAGTGTTCAACTATCTCGAATTAAATTAAACAGTAGAAGATACAACACAAATTTTAAATAATCGAGAAATAATTGTATTCTTATCACAAGTATTAGTAGTTACCTTTATTATATAATATAAACTTTTTCGATTGTGTTTTATCAATTTATATCCTGAATACAATATGTTTGCAACATGTTTTATAACCTTACAACCCCTGGAAATATAATATTATTATTGAATGCATTGTTARTAAATTTCATATTGTATTTAATTTTCACCAGTATAGTAAAAATACTAATAACTAATAATCTATGTTTAGAGCGATCTATAAGGGTCGTTTTGAAATTAATTAAATTTAAAAAGAAGATAAATGATGTATGAATGAATCATATCAATACTTCGATAGAAAATGCCCGCTATAAAAAAAAAACTCAAATCGAACGATCTGAATAATATTTGGTAAACTTTTCAGCGCCCTCCCACCTCCCTCCAGTAGCGTAGCCGTTGTTTTTGAGACTGCTACTATACTGAGTAAAATTCAATGAATAAGTAAAAAAAAAAAAAAATACATTTTTTCCTTCTATTTATTGTTTTAGCATATACCAATGGTTTGCACGGCGGTGTTTTGTGCCGTATCAACGATGATCGTATGGTCTTCGGTGGCGGGTTTCAATATCTTAGACTGTAACCGACAACTGTCTACATTCCGAGTGTCCAACACCGACGTGAACGGGAGGACGTGTTCTGATGAGATCAACGTGATGTCTTGCTGGGGAAGATGTGACTCAAACGAGGTATACCTACTGTATTAAACATAAAAGGGTTTTTTTTTTGTAATGTTAAAATTATAACGTATGATGCATGAAAACTGTATTCACGATGGAAGACATTGAAGTCATCCACACGCAAAAAAAAAATCAAAACCGACATCATATGTGTGATGTTTTTTTTCCTATTGTAAAATAGAAATTGAAGTTRTTTTACAATATAGATTGACATTAATGTAACCGAAAACTTTCAATAGGTAATAAGTAGGTACTATACGCATATAATAAATATTATCTTCTCAGTTTCCCTATTAGGTACTTTCGACAATACAGAATGAAGTGTTTTATCACTTAAGTGTTGACTTTTTGATTTTTTATTCAATCTGTTTCAAAGAACAACAATTAGAATAACTGAGGTAATATATACAGTAGGGTCTCGATAATCCGAACGAGATTGGGTAAAGGGGTTGTTCGGATTAGCGATTTGTTCAGATTATCTATSGCTTGAAAAAAAAATCAATTTTATTGTAATTTGAATCATGAAATTTTATTTTTATTTGTATTAATCGTGTAAAAACTTGTAATTTAAAAAGACAATGAATATATAAAAATTTTAATATAATATTATGAGTATAATTATGAACTTTACTATTTAAAATATCGATTTATTATTTTTTTTTTTGTCTGTACGCTGGTTCTTATTATGGTTTGGTATGCCTTGTCCCATATAATCGAAAAATCTTATTACCCGAAAATATTTTTTTATAAATACATACATATTATGGCGATAAGGTAATTCTCAAGCCCGTTTGGATTAGCCTGTGTTCGGATTATCGAGACCGTACTGTTGTAACAAAAGCTGATTTTTAAAATATTCAGTTAAATATACCTATTGAACAACGTTAATTTATCGCATACTGAATTAAAATTAACATATTACTTATTTCGTGTTATTACGGTAAAATATAGAAATATAATATTTACACCCTAAAAAAATTGACCACAMTCGTATAAAATTGTTTCGTGGGATATGTTCGTAACACTCTGCTGGTATATGATGTATACACACGTCACGATAATAATATTATATCTACCAATCTTTTTTTTTAATATTCTAATAGAATCACTGAGTAAAGTTTTATTATTACGTAATTCGACACATATTAATTTATCAACATTCTAGAAAATAATTCATTTTCAATAGTTTTTACCTATACAATTTCTGTCAATTTAAAATATTTGACAGCAGAAACTTGATGTTTGCTCATAAAAATGTAATATATAATAATATTAAATGTATTCAAATCAAACAAGTCAAAAACGATKAAATAGCTTCCATAACTCATTGATGTAATATGAAACACGTGTAAGCAAATTGGTGTGATAAAAATAATTTTAAAAACGCATTGATTTATAGATAGTTCAAACTTGTGAATATGCAAAATATGATGACGTAAAGCGGTTATACAAATCTGAACATATAAATAATTGATAGTTTTTGACATAACTCTTGATTGATTGAACTATAATCGTTATTATTGCACACCATATTTTCAGTATTCTCATTTTTCAATTATCCTTTTTTGCCAACGACGATAAAAAAAATTCAATCTTCTACTTTTTTTGTTGCCAGATAGAGCTTAAGATAAAATATTACGCTGGTGACTGAACTGAATCTTCGTTTAAAATCCCTAAAAATTGTATTTGATTTTACTTCATAGACACACGATCTTGTAGCGTGTTTTCTAGTTCGTGAATATTCAGAATTATCATTTAGCAGTCTGTGTTTGAACAACCTACACAGCTATACTACTTCTATGATCAAGAAATCTTCTTCTGCCCAATTTAGAAGTTAAACATTTGAAAGTTTATATACATTTTAAATGATCATATAGTAGGTATAGCTACTAAGTACGGACTTATATTTTCCGTGTGAGCGTAAGATTCAGTGATTCAGTCCTACTAGGCCGATTGTGATTCAGTCCCATCAAACATAATTTTATACGGTTTATCCTAAATCAAACCTTATAATTCGAAAATAATCGTAGATAACTATTGACTTATATAACAACATTAGGCCATACCAAATAAATAATACTGTGAAATCACTACATAATTCAAAAATTTATATTTTTTTTCAAATGATCTACTACTTTTAGTGTATAAATACACGGTTTATTAGATATCTTTGATATTTTACTTGGTTTATATTGAATAATTAGTGAAAATATAATATTAGTAGGTATAGGTATATTAAATAATCCGTGTGTATGTAATATTATATACTGGCATTTAGATTCAGACAGAACTACTGATCTACATTAAATATTCATTCGGATAAGTTACTGTTATTTTACATTATTGTATGTCTTAATTTCCAAGCCAAAAATTGAGTATTGTTCAACGTTATGTGACCCATCGAAAATAAATATACGCTTAATTTAATCGCTTGAGCGTGTTCAAAGACGATTTTTTCGGTTTATTGGCTACAAGCGAAAGCGAAATAGTAGTGACCTTTATCCTTCATTATMTACATCCMTAAATATAACTCGAGATAGTCTTGAAATAGTCTGTTTGGATACTAGAAGTAGGCTTATTGACATTTACTTCACTTTCAAACTTCTAAACGGATCTATATCTTGTCAGTTATCTTGAGCTACTGGAACTCGGACAATTTCACGTCCTTCAACACCCGTTTTTATTCTTATTCATATTTTTCAATAAAAACCCACAGAATATCATATGGATATATTAGCTTAGTAATTTATCTTATCTCGCRGGAATGCAACAATGACTATAATGACTACATTAAAATCTCCCCATTTGTATAAAAATGTTTAAATTTTAAATTTATTTTTGTTATTAATGGAAACACTTGATTAAGTATATTTTATGTTCTTTTCTTTACACAACATAATTTATTGTGATATCGTGTAATATTTTAAACTGCACTTAATCAAACACACAGACTTTTAATAAAAATAAAAAAAATWAAACAATTTTGGACTAGTAGAAATTATAACTTTGTGTTTAATTTTAGTTGTTCAACTGAACGTTGCTCTGCACAAATTCAAGTTTTTCAAAGAGCACACAATTATAATAATAAAAACAATATTGCAGTAAACTCTTTCTTTCTCRACGTTCTTCTTKGCAAAAACACTTTTTTACCAAACGCCTCATAGTAATACCWCATCGGTTATATTAAGCATAATAGATTACACTTTGCGCAGTGGGCGACTATAGTGACTTCGTAATATAATACGAACTGTAATTTACAAGAACGGCGCCAGACATAAATAATTTTCACTGCTCAAATGTCTTAGTCAAAACATTTTTTCAATTTTCTGAATATATTTTGTTAATTTTTAATTTTTTTCTTATTATTTACCCATTTTGTTTTGATGGTTTATGAATTATGAGTATGTAACTAATACTCTTATAGTTATTGGTGTATAAACTAAATTAACAAAGCGTTATGGTTTCACTTGATAGTCAAAGGACTTAATAATAATGTTTGTTTTGATAAATTATTAATYAGTATATTCTTAATATGTCTATACTGAGAAGAAAAATTCCATTCCACCAGTCCGTTTAAATGAAAGCAAACAAAATTATCAATTTTTCAAAATTATTACAATACCTATACTAACCCTATAACACTTAAATTATTAAAATAATAAATCTATAGTATACATTAGAAGCAAATCAGCGGAGAAACGAACAAAAAATGCAAACACATGACTACATGAGTTATAATGTTGAAAGCAGAACATAGACATTGACTTCTGGTATTTACTCCYCTCCTTACTGATTTATAGTTTGTAATATTATATACATAATGATAATGAATTCTATAAATTCCTATAGAACTTTTCTATATTTTCAATAAATAGACGTACCTAGCAATGCACACAAAGTAATAATAATGCATATTATGTCWGTATTACTCTTTGAGTTATATTATATTCAATCTTTATAAAATCAGATACAATGTAGTTATGATTTTCATAATGTACTTTTCATTTATATGAATACCATTTTTTTTTATAAAAAAAATAGATGAAATATCCAACATTTTTTAGTATACCACAATATATGTAATACTTTAAAGGTGATACACATTATGTATTATATATATTATTATTTCCAAAGAGTTTGTTATATAGAGAACTGAGCGACTTGATAAAAAAATAAACAGTTATTAGTTAGCCGTTACTATTGGATACCATATATCACGTCCATTTGATGTGAAGGAGTAGTGTGAGAAACGATACAACCGATTTATTACAATTTTTTTTTTCAATCTATGACAGTTATAATTTTTTTTCATTTCTTATATTTTAGCACCTAAGTAATCTAGTATATATATATATACACTCACATAGGTGTAGGTATGTTTTGATATGACATTTGAGAGCAATGATTAATCATCGCATTCAATGATATTCAGTAAAAATAAGGACAATTTTTTGAAACCTTTTGCATAAAAATGAGTGAGATGGTTATATTTATAGTGTTCTCCGAAAAGCTTGAAAAACAGAAAAAAAAATCAATAAAATGTCTCCCTAATCCTTCAAGTCGGAATGCCATATTTGGTTTCTTATCAAAGTGTCTACTATAAGTTCAAGGGTGTTTCGAGTAACTTTTTGGGAAGTCCTTTTACTTCGTAGGACATGTCGTCACAGATTTAAAAAACATTTTTAAAACTAAAACATTCTCTGTTCAAACAAGAATAYGAAATAAACACTATTGGTAAAAAATATCTAAATACAATATTATTGTTACCTCTAACTACGAGGTTTTTAAAAAAAGCTCAAAATTTTTAAACAGACCAAAATAAAATACGGACATTCCGTTTTATATTATGTTGATATGTTGGTATACCCAATACCGCAATGTGGTGACCGATTTCCCTATGTTTTTTTTTATTCCACAGGTGTCCGACTGGCGGTTCCCATACAAGAGATCGCACCATCCGGTGTGCATTCACGCCGGCCAAGTGCTCACCGAGTTCGTGTTGAAGGACTGTGACGAAGGCGTTCAGCCGGGCACCGAACTTTACATTTTCCCGCAGGCCACATCATGCAAGTGTCACGCGTGCAAGTCATCGGAGGCGTCTTGCGAGGGGTACCGGTACAAAGATTTCCAGTTCATTTCCACCGACGAAGTCTGATGGGATGAATAACTTAAAGAAAACAAAAAAAAACAAAATGCGACGGAATTACGAACGACAGCGAACCGAATGAGTCATCATATTTACATATTATATATAAATATATATTTATCATTATTATTATTATACGCGCTTCCGTTTTTCTCTTTCTCGTCTCCTTCGATACTCATTATCCATAATAATCGTTTGCTACAATATTATGGYCTTYATCATCACACACTCGGCAAAACACACTGTTGTACATTCTTAAGTTMTCTATCAAATAGTGATATTAAATTATATGTCTCATTGTTATCCGAAACGTGAAAAACTAAACTCATTATAATCTATAAGCCCTCGCCTGTGTAGATAAAATATATAACCAATTTTAATGTTTATTGTGTGCTTTTATATCGTATAATAATATATATTATATTATATAAATATAAATATATATATAATATGAATTCTCGGTATACGTGTGTGCGACACGAATAAAAATAATAATAAWAAAAAAAAATCAGATTAATTATAACGAATGCACAGCGTTATTTTATTTTTCTTTCCTACTATTTAATACGAATATAAATTATATTGTGACCTCGTCTGATTACGAAAAGGCGCCGTAAGGCATGCATCAACAATATTTGAACACGAACATCCGAGATAAAAGTTCTGGTGCAATTTATAGTGGCCCGAATACATCATGTGAGTTACACATAGTGGCAATTTAGTCAGTTATCAGACTTTTTCTCGGTAATCGTTTGTATGGTTCAGTGTTTAAYATTTAGATTCGTAGAGCAGTGCACCAACGTTTTACGTGGTACACAAAGTATGTGACACTTTACTCAACAGCTCGTCTAAACTGTAAATTCTTATAAAACTTATGTCAAGTGTTATGATTGTATTGACTAACAAAACATAAAAATTTTAACTTAAAATAAATTTAAAAAAAAAAAAACGAAACAAAAACAAAAATTTTTAATTGGACTAATTAATGTTATGTCTTAGAGACATAACTTRGATCCTATATTCTCAAACAAATATTCTGCCTAGGAATATTAAAATAGAAACGTATATCGATATAATTAGTTCAATGGGGTTGTATTGTAGCGAATTAAAAGTATTATATGTAATATAATAATATTTATCTACATTAGGTCATTATAATATAATAAAAGCTCATTAGTCGCAGAATTTTTACGTTTTTAATTTCACCAAAACGAGGGAAACTGTTTAAGAGTTTCAAACCCTCAAGCGCATGAATATATAATACAAAAATTACGTAACTGTCAAATTTAAGAATAGTATGTGAGAACATAAAAAATCACCTGAAAAAAATAAAAACACTATTTCCTCGACGATTCGTCTAAATGACGTTTATAATAATCCCAAATKGTGCTTTCAGAAAACCATYGATTTTTCTCTGCCAGACAATACATCTTATGTAAGTATACGTTTTACTTATATTCTACACTCGCTATTCAGCCATCGCCTCCGATAATCGTTGTACAACAACAGTGCGTCTCTGTGGTAGATATAGTTTCTAACAATAATTAGTTATTTGTTCGTTATACGRCAATTTATACTGATTCACGACATACGTAGTAACAGTAACGACACAAAATTTACATAAATGAACACTATTTGATGCCTCAGCTAATTTTAGTTGGTAATAACGGTAAATGGGAAATCTGATAAAAAATGTACATAACTAAAAAATTAAGATTGACTATATTCCCTCGCTGAACTATGTATGTAAAGATGTTTCAAATTGTTTAGCAGTGAATTGGATATAATTTTTAWTCTCTCATTTGTTAAACAATAACAGTTATTACATTATATAAAAAAATAATTTACTATTCTTGTATATTATGTTATTTGATTTATCTTTTGAAAAAGTTTTAGATTTTTTTAAAGYACTGTGTTGTTGCTAAAAGCAATATATAATAAAATATTCTTAGAAGTATAATATAGACCTTACCTCCTCTCAGAAYCGTTTTCCATATRCAACGATTTAATGTTCAATTCAGATTTAATAAACATTTATAAAATTACTTACGACCTACTTAACAAAGTGGTACACTTGTAACTGCTAAATTTCTGCGTGCTCTCAATTTTTTCCTGATTGTTTCAAATTATTCTGAAACATTACAATTTTAGACAGTAAGGAGTAATAAAAAAATAAGCATAATTTAAAACCAATGGGTAAGTCGATCGCTATGCTCAGAATCTATATTAAGTATGTCTTATACTTCTCAACGAATAATCTCCTTGGCCATAATTTGTACTATAAATTGTCCGATCGGAAACAAAATACCGTCGAATGAATGAAAACTGTATACAATAGCTTCCCTTACCGCCCATCGAAAGAACAATACAACTATAACGTGATTATTTTTGTAAATATAATCAGTGTKTGAAGTGCTACAATATGGTACCTATATGGTGAGCAACTGATGAGAACACACGTGCCCAACAATAATAAGATGGTAAATTGTGTTATTGCAGAGCGTCTACGATGGAATTAAAAAATTCTCCATCACATTTTTGAGTTGAAACAGCTGTATATATTTTGGTCTGGAGAACAATTCTAATTTATTATTAACTCTAAATTATATTGCAAATATAATACAATGATTCACATAGAACACTTATTTGAGGTAAATATATATATATAAATAATTTATTTATATTGAATATTATAACAAAAGAATGAGGTATGAATGGTTATTGATAATGAACAATTTTTTTTTTAAATGTAAAACTTAAAGTTGAATTTAAYATTATACTTGGTGTAGACTGTAGGTAATACAATATTATTACAAGCGACCAAATGTTTATTCTATCAAAGGATATTAAATATAAAATGTTTTTCGGTCCAGCACTTTATTTAAATTAACAATAAAAYAAGTATAAAAGCTTTAATTTTGAAATTAAGAACCTCTTAAAACATTATATTATTATAAAATGTATTTTTTAGTTCAAAATTAATTGAAAAACGAAAAAGAAATAAATGTAAAGGTTTTCATAGCAGCTATTAAAGTCGTTTAAAACATCAAATGTATAAAAAGTTTTGCGATGCCTTTATAACGGTATAATAATTTTCATAGTAGGCACGTACTATTATTTCCAGAAAAATCGTAAAACTAATCAAATTAATATTTTGCCCTGAAATGTTGTTGCTTCYAATGAACATCCAAAGACCTTATTTATTAAACTATGCTACTAGGATATTGCATGTATATTACTATGTTTATGTGGTTTATCAATGATTCTTAACAAAATCAATTCAATTCGTTTGTATCCAAATTACATATGATATTATTCGGWKTATTAATCATCTATTAAAAATTATTAAATTAATTAAACATACAGTTTAGTTAGGTATGGTATATAATGAATGTGAGAGGTAACGTCTAATAAACTTGTTTTTTTTTTCTAAATGCAATCAACATGTAATCAAAAATCAAAATATATAAATTATTTTAATGCTAATTCAAGGAAAAATTAGTTTAAAAAAAAAATCCATTTCACTGTGACTCTGATTGTAAAATGTAAAATAGCAGCAATGCTGAAAAMCCGTGAAATTACTGCAACTATACAAAACGATTTATATTAGTTGTAAATTAAATATTAAAATCCATTCACCATGGCTGACTATATAGCAAATCATGATTGTTAGATGAATGATAATGAACGAATCACGATATAATTGACAATTGCATGCAGATAGCAGAACATTGAATTAAAAATATATAAATATATGTTTAAACTTTTAACAAATCCACACGAAATCAAAATGGCAAAATTAATTTAAAGCTATAGTTATATAATTTTTCYACTTAAACTAAATCTCATCTAATTTTGATTAATAACTCACAAAAGTATAAAAATGGATTCCATTTTAAAAAATTATATAAAATCAATACCATAATGTCGCATGACTTTTGATGTTGAGTTTTAGACAAAACTTATGGGTGTATGTATTATAACTCAATACAAAATGTCAACTCACTAAAACCATTCTAAACAAATTATGATTTTAAAAAAAAAATCGTTAAATTCTACAAATTAATAATGAAACTGAAAATATCAACAATTGAGATAAATTTATTGAAGTCAAAATATAGCTTAGACTTAAAGAAAAAAGAGAAGTGAAAGCTAGAAGTTCAAAGTATAATCATCTTTGATGATCATTAGGGGGTCTTTTATCCAATTTACACMTTTAAACTAAGTATCCTGCACTGTGTCATTACACTTTGGAATAAAAAAATAATTTTTAAACTGCAGAAGTTTTTTGAATTAAGAAAACCACAGAGTTCAATGGATATTTTGAACCACGATMAAATGTTTATTTTTATTATTCTTACTTATAATATTCTGGTCGATAAGAAAATACATTATACGTAATTAAAGTTTTTCATTTGGTAAGCAGGGTTTTATTCTAACAAAATACAATAGGTATTTATCTATTTATCTAAGTGCTAAATATACTACACAACTACACCAATTGAAAAAATGTAACCATTGTGTTTTTGTTGATCGGATTGGGCGATTACTCTGTCTTGTCTGTTGAAGATAAATGTGGCAATACTATTTATACGATTATTTATTTTGAATATCAACGCCACAAAAGCATACAGTAAAAAATTCAACGTTAAAAAAAATTATGAAAATTATKAAGAATATAGATACAGTTACCAAAAACCAAGTGCAATATTATGTAGTTATAGTTATCTGAGATTCTTACAATATTATGTTTGTGAGTAAGTTATTTAATTAATAATTTCAGTAAAGGAGTAAGGTAAAGCGAGAATGTAAACGATGTTCGTTTGGCCATTAAAATAAAAATGTTCTCTATCCATATTATTATAGTCTTAAATCGGTTGTATGACATGGTATGTGACGTATTTTCAGTGGGCACTGCTAGAAGAATCGATCATTTTTGGAATTGTTTCTATTAAACAAATAATTATATCTAGATCGAGTTGGAAAAATACGAAAGATTGTTTCAATGGTTGCGTAAGCATAATATGTTTGAAAAACGGACT